CAGCCAATAAAAACGAAGGCTAGACGAAACCTTAATTTGCATGCGCTCCCTATAAAAGGCGTGCGCTCACGCTGATTTTCCGTCCGTGACCGTAAGACTTTTAGCGAGAGCGTAGAGAAAGGTTGATCATAATGCCCGAGCCAGCCAAGTCCGCCCCCGCGCCCAAGAAGGGCTCCAAGAAAGCGGTGACCAAGACGCAGAAGAAGGGCGACAAGAAGCGCAAGAAGAGCCGCAAGGAGAGCTACTCGATCTACGTGTACAAGGTGCTGAAGCAGGTGCACCCCGACACGGGCATCTCGTCCAAGGCCATGGGCATCATGAACTCCTTTGTCAACGACATCTTCGAGCGCATCGCCGGCGAGGCCTCGCGCCTGGCGCACTACAACAAGCGCTCCACCATCACCTCGCGGGAGATCCAGACGGCCGTGCGGCTCCTGCTGCCCGGCGAGCTGGCCAAGCACGCCGTCTCCGAGGGCACCAAGGCCGTCACCAAGTACACCAGATCCAAGTAGAGCGTCTCGGTCAGACCGGCTCGACCCAAAGGCTCTTTTAAGAGCCACCCACCTTTTCAATAAAAGGGCTGATGCTGTGGCGAGTTGATATAGGTCTCCTAGGTTCTTCTCGCGAAAGGAGATAGAATAGTGTGAAAGCACTATCATTTCTAAGGATCCCGGGATCCCGAGATGTACCTATTCGCAGTAAGCGATGCGTTCTGCATCTGCCTTAGTGGAGCAGAGAACGCTTGTGATTCGCGAAAAATACTCCGGCAGCCCGCTTCGCTTTCGTGTCTGGTTTGGGGGAGGTTTAACGATAAATGAGCTGTGTAGGTGTTCTCTTTAAGTGCCCGAAATAAAAGCGTGTTCCGGATAGGTGGTGCTTGCTATTTTTTCCTTGCGAGGCACTTTAGCGGAATGGGGCTACATAGAAAGCACAGGCGGTTCAAGATGGCCGTGTGCTAATTTTTTTTTTTTTACAGCAAGAAGCTCCAGGCTGGCCATCCTCCCCACCGTTAGCGTTCTCACAGGCGATCAGGGGAAGGAAACAGAAACGCTTCACGGCGTTCTCGCCCCGAACCGCGCAGCCCCGCCTGTGGGCCCGAGCACGGTCTACCCCTCAGCGCTTTTCCCCGGCTCTCGCCCGCTTCTCCCTCCACCGCCCTGCTCCCCCGCGCTCCGTAAATCCCACAGGCGAGCAACCTGCGGGAGCAGGGGGGAGGCGGGAGGACCCTGAGCCGCGCAGTTGCCGGGCTCTGTCCGACCTGAGTGAGGACTGCACAGAGATCCCCAGCAGGCGGGCCCGGCCCGTCGCGGCGCAGGTCCCGAGGGAGCGGTGATTGGTCGCGGCGGCGCTCGCGGCTCGGAGGTCCTCGCTT